AGTTTGGTTGTTTTCTTGTAAACGTTTTGTTACCCGGCTAGGTAACATCTGTAAGGAGTCAAACGAGCATTCCAAAGGGTGGAGTGATTAGGAGGCAAATAAAAGCTGAAGGTGTGAAACTGACTAATGTTGTCTCTTTCCAGCCAGAAAGCACAGTCACAGTCACATGATTTTCCATTTAGTGATTGCTTTGTTTAGTGGCAGAGTTGCTGGTCCCAATTAGGTTTGTTAAGTGAGCACTACCTGTAGAAATTTCCCAGAACGATTCTGCTTTAGGATGTGTAAGTTAAGGAAACAACATTCCTAGTGTCATATTCTATCCTAGTTTACAGATATATACCCCCCATAACATACACAGATACAAGCTATTTAGAGAGATAAAACAAAAGAGCAGTAGGATAAGTTTTATGTTCCAGATACTAAATAAAAATTTCAATAGCCAGTCAATCATCTATTATTCACATACTTCTGGCTACTTAAAATACTTAAGAAACAAGTAAGGTAGATAACGTTAGAAAACATGACATTCACTGCTGAAGTTTCACAGATTTCTACAAATTAAAGGTGATCTGCAAGCCATTTTGACAAAATTTATTCAATTCTAAACATATGTGCTGAACATCCAGGCTAAAAAATCCAAAGGGACTCAAATATATTATTAAGTTTCCTAGGCCTCATGTTCCAATGCCAAATAAGAGAGGAAAGGAAGGAAACAACAACAAAGAAGTTGTATGTTTGGGCAATGCAATTTGACAAGACACTTACCTGACCCCTTGTAGACTGGCTCCATGCTCCAGCAGGATCCTTGGTGATATATGTCATCACCATGATGGTATATGTTGGGGTGTTACATCGGAGCAGGAGCCTAGTGGGGCTGGACATCATGGGACCTAAGGGAAAAAAATAATAAGTGTCCAGCTATGTGCTGAATGCCTATCTTAGTTTAGCCTGGAGGAATTCAGCACAAGCAACCCAAGTTGATTAATTTTGTCAAACTGATTTGCAGATCACCTTTATTACTATCAATTGGACTTTCAACAGGAGAATCAGCTTCCTTTATAACTGCTACTTCCAGGCAGCAGCACTGCTAAAACATATTTGTAAAATACAGAGTTTGCATCCACCTTTACTGCTCTTTTTAGTTCTGTGGCAATGCCCAGTAACTAAGGTACGCAGCAGATCTACAATACAAAAGAATTTGTACGGAAAATTATATCAGTAGTTTCAATAGTGGTTTTGCTAGTTGTAAATTAAATATTGGTAAAATGTGGTTGCCAGCATTTGGAGTATAATATCAACAAAGATTCAGAATTAAAAGTGGAGAAAAACATAATGGAAAAAGGAAGGTTAAATTAGATGCAGGTGATCCGTCATTAGGTATCTTACCACTCTTTCTTCCCATTTTAAGAGACAGAAGGGAGAATGGTGTCTGTCCCCCATACCCAAATCCGAGTGTATTAATTATACTGATGGGAGAAAAATGAACCCCTTTTTATTGTACATCTTCAAATCAAAGCAACATACATACTAAAGTATACGTGTACTCACACAACAAAAAATTACACACACATATACAAGTATTTTAATAGCTATATTTCAGCTCTCAGTTGTTAGAATACTTTTTGTGCGATGGTACTGTATAATGGAATTTTGCAGTTTACCTCTCATTGTAAACTTAAAAAGCTAGCAAAGTAAACACTGACACATTTATAACAACCCAGAGTCACTCTGCAGTGAAATGGGGAGTGATAAATTTGAAAAATAAATAAATAAATAAATATTGCACAATTTTGACATGAATGTTCTCTAATTGACCATCAGCGTTGCCATTTTGCTACTACAGGTAGTCCTCGTTTAATGACTGTCCTGTTCAGCGACTGTTCAAACTTATGACAGTGCTGAAAAAGTAGGTTTATGACCGATCCTCAAACTTACAACAGTTGCAGTGTCCCCATGGTCAAGTGATCATGGCTCGGGCACTCTGCAACTGGTGTGCTGTCAGGTTCAGCCCAAAGAACTCCACAAGATAGTACAGATACAATTCTGTTGCATTTATTAGCTTCCACCTCCAAGATAGAATCTCTCCAGACTGAATCTAAACTTCCCCAGCCAGCAAGCCAAAACACCGTGAATTCCTTAGGGTAGTGCCAGTCTCATCTTCTTAACCTTCCCACGGTCTTGCTGGGGGCTAAGGAAATGCTTATCTCCCTGAGCGCGGCCTTCATCAAACCATTCCATCACATGTGCATTTACAACAGTTGTTGCATCCTGCGGTCACAATTGCCATTTGTGACAGTCACCTTCCAACAAGCAAAGTCAATAGGGAAGCTGGCAGTAAGTCGTAAGTCAGTCATGTGATGTCACACTTAACAACCATGGGTGATTCACTTAATGATCACAACGGAACTGATGTTATAAGGGGGCTTTGGACTTTTTCCTCATCACTTTGTAACAGATCTGTCAAGTCATCTTCCTTACTCTCTACACTACCCTTGCAATATCTGACCTGAAAACTAAGGTTTGTGAATGACAAATCAGGATTGGGAGTATGGCTTTAAATGAGTCTTGAATTATGCTTTCACTTGATAAATCATAATTACAGGTACAGCCAGAGATTAAACACCTAAAGACAGGAAATACTGAATTGATGAAATGCAGAAGAATGGTTGCAGAACTCTAAACTGGGGATCCATGTACGCTTGGAAACAAAAACACATTTTGGATTCTAAACTATGATTGGACAAAATATGATAAATCAAGACAGTAGACTATGCATAAAAGAAATGATATAACAGGTCTAGAATAAAAGAAACGGTACATGTGGAAGGAATGCTATATGTTTCTGCTTGCAGATCTTTTACTAGAATTACAGGGATTACCAATTTATATGGAGTATCATTCCACTGTATTCCCAAATTACTAGCATGGGGATAAAATTGTTCATTTGAAGTTGCTTGATGGTTCATTTATTTTTAAACAACATGTTTTTATATAACTTTATATAACTTGTCTGGGCAACCTTAACAGCAACCTTCGCCACCCTGAGTTACTTGTTGAGATGGTAGGCCAAACTGAACAAAAAACGAACAAACATAAAGGCACTGTCTATTACACAGCCAAAAAAGTTAATAATTTAGTGAAGTCTTCTCATTTTGCATGTCTCCCTATGAAATAAAGTACTCATATATTATCCTCTTCTGTCAATATTACCAAAATATTTCACAGTATGAAACATAATCAGTTCTGTACTTCAGCTGATTTTTTTTTTTTTACAGCAAATTGAAGCCTCTGGCTAATCATTTTCGATTTACTGAAAGAACTAAGCTGCTTATGTTGCATTGGAGACATTACTAGAGTTATTAACTTATAACTAACTTTTAATACTGGGGGGGAACCAATAAGCTCTGTGGGTAGCTTACATATGAATAATAAAACACATACAGGGTCAAAACTAAATATAGGCAACAGGCAGAAAACTAAAATGTCTCAGTACATAGTGGTAAAAATCTTACTACATTTTAATAGCACTCATCATGAGGTGACCTTCATTACTTTATTTTTTCAGGATGTAAAGCAGCAAAACACACTAGTCAAATATATGGCTAGTTTTAGTCCCGTTGCATTTTATGTTGTATATTACTGAAAATCTGTTTGAGAAGTGGCTAAATGGGTACTGCTTAGTAAAAAATACATTGTAGTTTTAAAATATGGTATTGATGTGACTTTCTGGTCTGTTGCCCAATATTTTAGTGTTACCTAAGATTTTTAATAGGCTTTTAGAGTTTTACTGTATTGTTGTAATTTCAACATTATTTTGCCCTATTGTTGAAACAGTTTTTTACTCAACTATAGCTTGCTTTGAGTTTGTTTTTAATAATAAACATGGACTAGAAATGTCTATAAATAAAAAAATTAAGTATTTAAATGAATAACTTGGTGTACCATGAACTTCCAGTTCTATCCAGTAATTTAATATTAAAAAGGGACCTTCCCTTTTTTTGCAGAAGTTTCTCTAAATTATTTCACAGAAAATGGGAACATATGCTAGTCTTGGCACCCACAGGCTCAAAAATTCTAGAATGCATGTTAATACTTAGAGATATCAAATTTGTTTTATGTACTTCATCTCTTAGACCTTCACGGTAAACAAACAAACTAAAGTACTTGTCAAGACATCTAACTTCCTCGCCTAAAACCAGAAACTTTTCCAAGTACCCCTTACATAATGAAATTGACCACTGCTCTATAGATTGAATTTGTATCTATATGAAATGAATATAAATGTTGTACCAAACATGGTCCAAGCTAATTTGCACCACAGCAATGGTTTCACTACTGAATTCTCCCCCAAAGTAAATATAAGGCAGCTGTTTGTTTCAAAATATAATGTACATTCACAGTTTTATAATCCTATGAACATGATATTCAGCAACAACCATTGTCAATGACTACACATATACGAGCGTGCGTGCGTGTGCATGCGAACATACACACACACATAAAGATAATTGAGAGAAAGGGATATAGTGAGAAATGATTACTGAACTTGCATTAGTATTTTAACTAGGATGCAAAATTTAGTTTTGTTTCAAAATATTTCATGCTTTCTGTGTTGACTGTGAATAAGCTGAACTCTTTTCAGCTGTCAGTTTCCTACAGTTCTGAGTGCAGCAGATTTTCACTCCCATTAAAAAAAATCACTTCAATATTTGTTGGAACCTACTAAGAGTCAGTATAGCTCAGTAACTTTAAAAACCCTAAGATAATATTATCACTGTAACAATCAATATGAACTTGGTACTAGAAGACCACTAAGTAAACAGTGTGTGATATAGGCCACATTTTCTTTTATCACAACAGTGTGTACTACAATGTAAGAATCACTGGATCATCCTTAGGGGGTTTTACGAACCACATAAATTGTTTCTAAAACTTGCAAGTCAAGAATAATATAGCTAATTTTCCTAGCATCTATTCCTTCTAGATGTTTGATTACTCACACAAATATGTTGTCCTTTGGCATAATATGAGTTAAGCCTTCATCCATTTGGAAAATTTTCTGGAATCTGTGATTATAAACCTCTGTCACCACCATCTAAAATAGAAAACAGTTAAAGAACACTAGTTAGATAGCAAATGAAGTGTTCAATACTTGCCAATACTGAGGGATTTCTGTGACAGTGGTTCACAGATGTGCTTAACTGACAAATTAATCAGAACTCAATTATAAGAAGCAGTCATTCTCTTTGTATTTGCCATAAAAATATTTATCAAAATTGAAAAAGTGTAATTAATTGCTTTTAAACCTTGTTTGAGAACAAATATCTGTAAGGCTATAAAAAAAAAAAGATGCCAGGAGGCAGGGTTAGGATTCACTAGCACTCACTGTACCAGAAATTCTAGTCTGATAATTGGCACCTGAAATGGGAAGGAAGGAGGGTTCTGAATTTGCCAAAATACTGTTCATGGGTTCAAACACATAGATTTTAAAAACATTCTATGAATGTAGCTTGGCTTACAAAGCAGACTGAAATGGACTGGTAGAAGCAGGTAGGAGTAGGCTTCACAACAGTGGGATTCCAATTTGGCTATACTTTAACATTTCTAGATCTGCTCCCAGAACAATTATAACTCTCAAGTTCTGCAAAATCATTTTTGCTCATCAGAAGCTACTCAATACTACCCCAATACTTCCCCAAACTGCCCATTCAAAGAGAAATTGTAATTATAATTCTGGTCCAAACATGCTTCCCTGTTCAACCTAAAGGGTAAAATGTTAAGATGCTACCTCTGATTGGATTAAGACAAGCTTTTAATTAAAAAAAAAATGCTATCTGAACAATTCTTAATAGAAAGCAAAATAGTTTAACAATTCTGAACAGGGTTTTCAATCAGTAAAACATATTACTTTGCCTGTTCTCAATAGAAAAATGTGCTTACCCTGCATAATTTTTAGTAGTTTTTTTTTCATTTAAGCTTCAACATAACATTCAAAAATCTATCTTGCAAGGTTTTTTTAACAAAAATTGTCGACTTTTATGCTTTCTCCTTACATTTTCTGCGGGGATTCCAGAGAGTTTGGACAGTGCATCACACAGATCAGATATACCACCCATCATGGGCACCACTACTCGGAACTGGAAGTAAACAGAGTATTAAATTTACACTAAACAAAACAGGAACACAATCCTTGATAAAAGGATTTTCACTATAATCAGTTTCAATACTTCACTTTAATGGTTATACCTAATCTTTTAAATTAAAAATTCACTGTGAAGAATGATCTGTCCTACTGGCAGAAAGAAAGGCCTAAAGAAATTCATGCCTCATAAGCAGTCTAAGTAGTCTGTTTTATGTATCCAAATTAATTTTTTCCATGTTATTAAGCACAAAAAGATATATGCCTGGACCATAGGGCTTTAATTGTTTAATGAAGTATAATTACAATACACTACATGTGAGGCTGTCTTGGAAAAACATTCATAGACTTCATGTAAGTGCTTTGCTTTTACTTTTTATGACTCCACTGTTAGATCCATTTATCTCTGTTGATTTCTTATTTGAATCTAAACGCTGTTATACTATTCATTTTTTAGTTTTTATATCCCACCCCAATCTGCAGATGCTGGATGCCAGTGATAATCAGAGCATAAATTACCATAACTACACCAGTCCTACTGCTGATGTTATTAGGACTTGCTTTGTCCCAGGAGTTCAGTTAGTAGGCATAGAAGACAAGGCCTCTGTACTGAAGGCTGAACTATGGAATTTCTAGAAGACCAAACTGATTCCTCTATGATGGTGTTTAATTGATGATGTTCAATTCCACCTTTGGCATCTGTTGTTGAGGGAATATTACCATCATACCCTTGCCATGGACAGATCACTCCATGTTGACTCTGGAGTTTACCATGCCATCTTCCCTTTGCAGGGAGGTTGGACCTATTCAATAGGCTTGCCCCAGGCACCTAATGGACCAAAATTGGGTTTCAGAATTAGCTTGGGGTTGTTCCTGAGGTTTTGATAGACAGTTCAGCTGAGGCCTTGGTTGCTGCTTGGAATGAGGCGGCAGCAGTGGCCTTAGATCAGACGGCGCTTCCCTGGACTCTCCCTGTGCACAAAACTCCTGGTTTACAGAGGATCTCTGGAGGATGAAGAGGCAGAAGAGACACTTGCAGCGCTGCTGGAGAAAAACTGGAAGTGAATCTAACTGGAGAGACGTTAGGGCCTTTATTAGAGCCTACCATTGGTGAATGCTCAAGAGAAGGATGGTTCCACTGGCTTTGAAAAAGGGGATGGTTTGCCACCTCCTCAAGAAACCATTGCTGGATCCTACAGATCTGGACAATTTTTGTCTAGTCTCCAACTTTCCCTTTCTGGAGAAGGTTGTTGAGAAGGTGATTGGCCTACAGCTCCAAAGGGAGGAAGCAGATTATCTGGACCCCTTCCACTCAGGTTATAAGATGGGATACAGTATGAGACAGCTTTGGTCACTCTTGTAGATGATCTGTGGTGGGCTTGGGATGGTAGTGCATCCATCCTAGCCCTCTTGACCTTTTGATGGCCAATACCTTCAACTGTGGTATCCTTCTGGACCAGTTTAAGAGGACAGGTGGGCACTACTTTGCAGAGATTCTACTCCTTCCACCAGGGCCAATTCCCACCATTGTAAAGTGGGGAGAGACTGGTCTACCCTTAGTGTCCTGCTTTGTAGGTTGCTCCTTTTCAACATATGCACTGGGAGAGGTTATCTGTCAGCATGGGGTATAGTATTAACACTGCACTGATTATACCCAATTGTACATCCCTGCACCTGGCTGTCCAAATGAAGCTGTCAAGGTTCTGTGCTAGTGTCTATAGGTTATGGGAATCTGGATGGGGAAGAACAGGCTTCAGCTAAACCATGCCAAGACTGGATGGCTGTGGATTTGTGGTCCCATGGATCCTGGAACTGAAGGGTTTCCATCTTTGGTTTTAGGTGGGGTGGCACTGCCCTATTTGGATTCAGTACACAATTTGGGCTCCTTCTGGACTCACAGTTCCTGCAGGAACACCAGGTGGCAGCTGTGGCAAAGGGGGTCTTTGCACAACTTCATCTTGTGTGTCAATTGTGCCTGTTCCTGGACTGGGAGATGGTCATTCACTGGTAATTCACGGCTTAGTCACCTCCTGATTGGATTATTGCAACACATTCTACATGGGCTGTCCTTGAAGACCATCAAGCAGCTTCCACTTGTCTAGAATGCAGCGGCATGGGTATTCCTCATTGTACCCATGTGACACCTCTACTCTGTACTTGTTCCCAATAGGCTTCTAGGTCCAATTCAAAGTACTGATATAAAGTGCTGATATGGCATAAGACCAGGTTATTTGAAGGACTGCCTGCTCCTTAGGGTATCTGCCCATCCCACAAACTCTGAGAGGGTACACTCCACATATTTGGTGGTGTGTCTTCTCAGTAGTGGCTCCTACTTTTCAAAATAATCTGCCCCCAATATACGGTTGGTCCCAATCCTGTAGACCTTTAAAAAGACAGTTAAGACCTGGCTCTTTCCTGAGCTCTTTGGGTACAGATGAGTGGAGTCTCAATGGTTGTATTGTAATACATTTTAATCTGGTTGCCATTTTATCATTTTAGTTAGTTTTTAAAGTATTGAATTGTTTTTGTATTTGTAGTTGACTTTTATACATTGCCCAGAGTTACTTTGTCAAGTCGGGTGGCCATATAAATGCTATAATTAATTAATTTCTATTGTAACTTTAAAGTATGCTGATTATAATCAGTTTTAGAGATTAGCTAACAGCAGTGGTGGAATATAACTATTAAATTATCTTAATCCCATTGTTAAAATATATCTTCATATTTATGCCAATAATTTATTTATACTGAACATCTATGACCTGCTTTTCTATCAAAATGTTTAAAGTAGCTTTTATATCATTACAATATGTAATACAAATACCCAGAATATACCCATCAGATATTAATCCTAATTTTTCTAAGAACTCCAACAAAGCCAGCTATGTCAATGTTCAGATGTGGCAACTTAAAATATAAATAATATTAACACAGTGGATAAATTGGTGTCAGCATTATTTGTCATGCAAATAATTTCATCTGTTTTCTCAGTCTTGGATTTCTGGTGCTATATACATGAATCCCCAAAATCAGCACACTGAGCTGATTCCACACTCTGTGGAGGGCCTTTGGAATTTTTTGAGATCCTTGAGTTTTATTTTATTGGCACAATTTTAAATAATCTTATCATTAGTTAATGTTCACCACTGTTATCCATGTTTTCACAAATGAAGTTAAAAAAGGGACAGATTTAATTTTCATTATTTTACTCTAAAAGAGATAGCAAAGCAACAATACCCTAGTGACAAGCAAATTTTTTTTCAATTACTTTTAAAGAAGAAAAATAATGAGTTCCCTTGATTGGCTTTAAAACTATTTTAATGGTTTAAGAAGTCTCCTGAGATAGATTATACTAGCACAGAGAAACACTGACATTTCTACTTACTTGCATAGGTTTGCGCTGTGGATCTGCAAACACCAAGAACACCTCCATGGGTCTATCTTTCTTCAAGGGCAATGGGAGTGTTAAGTAGCAAAAAGGATCAAAAGTTACTGAAATTTTAGAACATTTGGGGCAGACCAATGTGGATTTGAAGAGTCCATGAAAAATATCTACAATTATAGAGTCATTACGCAATTGATGGTTCTCCCAGGATTCTTTTGCAACCACCTATATAAGAAAAAACAGATTGAAGAGAAACAGCAAATGTTGAACCTAGTCAGTTCAGTAAATTCAGTTGCAACAGATTTATCCTGCAGGAAAGTTACTGAAATACATATATGCCTCACACTGAAAGAGAAATGGTATGGCAACCTTAGATGCAAGAAGAGCCTACAAAGCTATATGGACTGATGACTAGGTTATCTGAAAGACTACATACTCCTATACCATTCTTGCCACCTGTTCTAGTGAGAACTTAAGAAATTACCTTTCAATGGCTGTTAAAGGGTTTTAGAATTCTTTACAAGAAAGGTTTAACTAGCCTCCTTTTTCACTACCTCTCTTAGTAAGACAAGACACATTTTTTGTTTCAGTAACCTTCTGGCCTATCAGTTTTGTATTTTACTGTTACTCTGTATTTTACTTTTTTGTGTGTTTATACTGTTGAAGGTTTCATCACTTAATGGAAAAGTAGAATACAAATTAAACCAAAAAGTAAGTCAGCATGTGATATGCATTGTAATTAATTTCTCAAATGCAATCCTTGAGAAATAAAAAATTCAAGATATTAGAAAATACATTATGCTCAGGTTTAATTGTGGATTAATGTTGCATATATGGCAAACCTTAAATACAATTAAATTAAGTTTGCCATTATATTACAATCCAGGGAATTCTGGGCAAAAATATTTAGTTTAGACAAGCCAGGATCAAATAATAACTTACAATTTATTTATCAAATTTGTAAAGCCACTGACCTCATATGTATTCAGCGTAATACATTTTAAGCAGGGTTTTAACTACTTCATTTTTCCTAAGTTTGGACATTAGAAAGAAACCTGGTTTGTTTAAAAAGAACTGTGCTTAAAATCTCTTTTGTCAGAGAAGGAAAAGGAAGGGAGGTGTTTCCAAGCCTGTGACAAGGCCTATCTCATGCACTTAATACTAATCAATGTATGTAGCAAACTGCAGCCAAACCAACTCTATGCATTCAGGTTTAGAAAGTGAAGAACTGGATGGAATATGATATCAAAGAACATGGTTACTGATTATATTATAAAGGAAATACAGGGACATTTTCTCAGTAAGGTAAGTAAAAAAGATTGTTCTTCCTTTTATTCTTCTGCTACACCACAACTGAATTACAAATAAAATACTGTTTTTAGAATGTACCGAATCAGGCCTCCCGTTAGCATCCTTCAACTCCAAATACGGTTTCTTCTTTACTCGGTTTAAATCCTCATGTAAGCCATCTAGAAGAAAGGCCAGAAGCTCCTGAGAATCTTGTTGTTGGTATCCTGAAAACTGAGGAGCAAAACGGCCAACCTGAGTCTAAAATTAAAAATGGAGAAAAAAAGGAAAATAATTAGGGATGTTGTTTATAAACTCTATGATACAGAGGCCTAGTGGCCTTAGTTCTACAGCATTCAATATAAAAAGCTATGCACCAGTTTATACTAATAATATTAGTACCATCACCAAATAACCAGTTTCATGGTCTTATTATCCTGTAAAATAGCCTTAAGAAATTATTTTTGTCATAAATTAGTCAGGAAAATTTTCCTTGGTTCTGTTAGAGTTCTTAACAACCTTTCTTCAGGCTAAGGGCTGTCTTTAACCAGGACCTTACACTAAAGAGAGGAATTAGACCAGAAGACCATTTGTCTGATTAATACAATTAATACTGTTGCCTCCCATAATTCTCTTCTTGGGAATAATGAAGCAAAGACAGTAGAAGCTCTACTGTTGCTCCTAAAGATGTTCAGTGTTCAGGAAATAAGTAGGAAAGCTGCACCTTTTCCTCAACTCACACAGTCACCATGCAGCCCCAGGAAAATAAACATTTGAGTTAAGGAACACTTAAGGAGACGGTAACATGCAGAGTTAAGCCACACGTTGCTGCCGCTTCCTTAACTCAAACTCATAAAGTACTTTCATGGGACAATATAGCTAATCTGTGAACCAGAAAAAAAGTGTGGCTTCTTTAAGTAACTGCCACTTACTGTATTGAAAAAAACTTGTATATTCAGTTAGTCACAATAAATCACTCCTTAGCTGCAGGATCTACTTTTTCATTCCACTAAATATCCACATTTATTTACTTATTTATTAACATTATTTTGTATTGCCCCAATCGATAAGAGACTGGCAGCCTGCAGCAGAAAAACAAATACCTCAAAGCTACATTTAAACAAACCATAACAGCAGCAATCAGATGGTTGCCAACAATTACTCTATGTGGTAAGATTCAACAGAATTCAAAAAAAATAATAAACCACACTTAATTCTGTTTTGAACAAATTTCATTCACCAGATTTTTGCACCCCATTCTTCCAGTACTAGCACTGCTTCAATTTGGACATTCTTAAGCCTTTCAAAAGCTAACAATATTGCCATTAACTTGGATAATTGAAAGCCAGGCTGACAAATGGAAGCTCTTATACCCTGTAAGGACTGGAAGACAAAAAGTTACTTTCACTTTCACAAATATTTACCCCTTTCACTATCAGAATAGAATTTTGACTCCTATGTTCAGATAAAGAGCTTGAGTTTTAGGCTCTATGGCTGAAAACACGTCTTCCTGTCCCCCATACAATTCATATCCACTATCTCAGGTATCCACATCTCAGCAGGGAAGCACAGAGAAGATGCCACCTTCCTATAAGGAAGCTGCACTACCAATTTAGCAGCACTAAAACAAGAGTGAATTCTTCCTACACAAGAGTCACACATATCACTACCTTTTAGAACGATTACATTTCCAACAGTTTGCACATATATTCTGACTACATTTCGGCCTATTGGATAAAGCTCAGCTAAACACTTTCATTCTCAGCAGGCCACTCCCTGTTAATTTCTACATAACACTGTGAGAGTGGTAACACAAACTCTATAAATCAGCCTCCAAACCATCATCTGGATGACATTCAGTCTACACAACAATTTTGAAGTGAATGCACGCGCTAGACAGCATATTTAGCTACAGGTGTAATAAAAAACCTCCCTCAGAACTTCCAAAGTGTTTCCTGATCAGCCCTCCCAAATACCACTTGAATTATTTTGTTACTAGCTCAGAGAATGATTACATCTATTAATCACATATAGGATACAATACTTTCAAGTGACTTTTGAATTAAAATATACATCTCCAAACTTAAACTTGGGTATCAATATGATCAGCTCTTTATAAACATTCAGGTTTAATCCCTGAGAATTTCTTCGCATATATCATGCTTATTGTCCTACCCAATGAAAATCCAAAATCCCATGAATCTCCTCATTCTTCCTACTTAATTAGGGCTTTAATTTTCTCATAGCTATGTCCAAGGGTGGAATAATCACACTTGCCTGTGGAATACCATTCACCACAGGTCTTAGTTCAGATAATGCATTACCTATTTGGATCTTCTATAATTTAGGAAAGCTTGAATCCACCGTAATAGTCTTGTCCCAATCCCAGATGGATTAATTTGTAAATTAATTGCCCAATCAGAGTCCAGCTCTGAGAGGATCTGAGCAACTATCTACCAGATAGGCTGCAAATTAATCCACAGGAACATCTGCAGAGCCACTCTGAAGAATATTCTAACTATTTGGTGGATAAAGTCACTCAGATCTGCTCAGAGTTGGACTCCGACTGGGCAAGTCCAGTTGAGGTGCCTGGAGCACAGTCTTGGGGTTATCAGGGATGAGTTTGAGTCTGTGACTCCTGAGGAGGTGGACCAGGTCTTCCAAATGGTGAGTTTGCCCACCTGTTTATTTGATCCAGAAACTTCCTGGGTTATTAAGGCTGTCTGGGAGATGACCTATGGTTGGGTCCATGCAGTGGTGGTTTCTCTGAGGGAGGAGATACGCTTCCAGCCTTGAAGAGACACTAGTGTTCCCCCTCCTCAAGAAGCCATCCTTGGATATAATAATTTTGGACAATTATCATCCCATCTCCAATCTTTTCTTTTTAGAGAAGGTAGCTGAAGTGATAGGACAGCAGTTGCAGAGGACCCTGAAGGAAGCCGATTATCTGGACCTGTTTCAGTTGGATTTTAGACTGGTATTCAGTACCAATACAGCATTGGTTGCACTTGCTGATGATGTTTGGAGCAGTTGGGATGAGGGTAGTGTACCCATCCTTAATCCCAGTGGGTTTTGGTACCATCAATCATGTATGCTTCTGGACTAACTGAGGGAGCTGGGAGCAGAGGACACCATTTTGTGGTTCTCCTCCTTCCTGAGGCTGGTTCCAGTTGATGGTGCGAGGGGAGGAGTCAAGCCCTAGGCCCTGCTTTATGGGGTCCTTCAGGGCTCTACCATCTCCCCCTTCCTTTTCAATATCTACACGAAGGCACTGGGTGAAATCATCTGTAGATACAGGGTGAGATACCAACAACATGCAGATGATACCCAGTTAAACATCTCTGCCCTGGCCATCCAAGTGAAGCTGTCAAGTGTCTGTCCCAGTATCTGGAGTCTGTGAGCCAGAGCTATAAAGTGAATCCACAGACTGATTTCCACAAAACTGTCCCCAAATATTTTGTTAAGAGTTCCTAAAAATTGTCTTAAATACAGATTTACATTGCTTATATTCCAGGAGATCACCACCTGTGAATGTTTGCTTAATGCAGCATTAAACACCAGAGACACTTTCATACATTTAGCACAGCATATTTCATTATGGAACCAGAGTTTGTTTTTTCTTCATAGCCTACCATGGAGGCATAGCCTAGCTGGCTGCAGTAACAATATCAAATACCAGGAGTTGGGAAAATTCTTCTGGATCAGTCTGTTCACCATCAGTCTGTTCATAAACACTAGCAATAATCTGCACATTTTTATCTAAAGAGTTCCAGTTTGCCTTTTGAAGTTTTACCCAGGTTCACTAGTAATTGTCATATATCCAGAAGAAATACAGAGAAACGATTATCATATTGCCATCAGGGAAAGTTCCCAGCCACAATAAAACATGATACAAGTAAAAATTATTCTTAGATCTAAAGAGGAAAACGTAAAGAAAGCAGGAGTGCCATCATTAAGAAAAAAAAATCAAACTGTTTTCCAAAAATTCTCCATTCCTATCTACCTTAGAACTCTCCTATTCAAGTTTATGACTACTGAAATCTCCACATAGCAAGCAAGATCTCTTCATATCTATTATTAGATGATCCAGCCCATCTAGATCTAGAGGAACACATGTATTATATATATTAAAAATCCATAAAAGATAATTTGATACGTACATTCAAAGTAATTCCAATTAAAGTATATTGAAAAAACATTTCAGGGTTATTCAATTCTAAGTAATTTAATTTTCTCTTAAGAAAAGCAGGTACTATTCCTCTCTGGCTAAGAGAGATGCTGCTGGGTTACTTGTAAATTCTGGATATCCCATCCTCTCTTACAGCCATGTATCACCTCTACATTGGACTATGATCTCTTCCATAATTACAGCAAACTAAAACAGGGATCCCCTTTCATTGATTAAGTATGTGCAAACCACCTTACTTATCACAGTGTACTTGATTCTGACATTCTGCAGTGATGTGCTTAAAAGGTCAACAACAAAAACATTTAAAAAGGAACTTCAAGGACATATGTAAAACACCTGGTATTCAATATATACTCTTCCAGAAAGCTCAGAACCCTCAAGTGTAAGCTGGACAGCTGCAGAGGGAACGAATGCTTCACTCCTCCAAGACAATAAACGTTGAATTACAATTGTTCATTACACTATATTCCCCCAAAGATCACTTATATGAAGCTCAGACACATCCAACAGAACTTCCATAAATACCTTATTCTTCTACCATAAATCTTGATATATGATGAACAAGTTTTGTCTTTGCAATATTTCTACTTTCAATGTCTTCTCTTTTTTGCATGCCTACATTTCTAAAGCAAATCTCCTCCCTGAATTTATTCAGACTGAAAATGTCTCTGACCACTTTCTTAAACCATTCTGCCATTTACGTGGGGCTTATATTCTCTATCTTCACATTTTTTCCAAGACTTTAACCGCTACTAACAGTGGCTGTCTCTTCTCTCCATCCAGGGGTCCTAGTTTCCAACTTCCTCTATCCAAGGATCCCCTTTTCTGTTTCTTCTTTATGTAGGCCCAGCTCCTCTCACTTAAAGTATACCTCCTTATTTTTCCTTATGGAAAACAAAATTTTGTCCTTCTCTGTCCATCTTGCCTCACAACTGCAACCAATTCGTTCTCCAATAATAGCCAAGCTACCTCATACCCTCAACATTGCCTTTTTGTTTCTAGCTAGCTGCCTCTAGTCCAGGCAAAATCCCTATCCCAGCCACTCCTACCTAACCAGCAGACTGTAGCCTCCTCCTAGTTTCCCGCTACACTAAACCAGCCAGCAAGCCTTTTTCTAATCACCCAACACCCAGTCCCCCTCCAATATAAAAAATTAAAATGTGATGGCAATTTTAGAATTAGTACTGGGGAGAAATCACAAGTTCTTTGCATTTGCTTAAAAATCTCCCACGCTATCTTTCTAAATTGTATATGAAGGAAATCTCCCACAATATCTTTCTAAATTGTATATGAAGGAATAAATATGGGCACTGCTTAAAGCATTTCCCCTCATTTCCACTGCTCAATTACTTGTACCCAGATTAGACTTCACAAGTACCAGCTAAGCTAAAGCAGAGTCTCAACAGCTAAGTATCTTTGAAACTAGATGAATTTCAATAGCACCAGTTGAGTAATGCCAGGGCAGCTACAACCATCAATATAAAGTTTTCTGTTTAAAAGTGGTTCACTGCTGAAAACGATATCTACCGGTTAGAAGCTGGGTAAGTTCACTCCAACCACTTAAAGAAAAAAATTGGTATATCTATTCTTTGCTGCTTTAGAACTTGTTTTTTGCTGTCTGGAATTCTAAGATTGGTTTGGCTTTGACTTCTGGACTGACTTCCTGATTAATGTTCTGTGTAACTCTTTGTGGAATTAAACCTTGAATTGTTCACATATATTTTTTTTGGTTGGCTAATCTCTAACCCAAAAACAAGATGCCTTTTTTTCATGCCAAATGCTAATTTTGACACTTTGTCAGTGGCTGAACTCAGATTCTGAAGCAAGACTCATGCAACTTTCTTACTGAAGATTTTTCTTTCTTTAGATGGGAATGTTAAAACATCCAGACATCAGAATAGTTTTTTCCCTCGTGCCATTGCTTTGCTGAATACCATGTGATCTTTTTTTTGCTCTTATCCAAAAAGATATTGATTTTGCTGTTATCACCGAAGATAAATTCCTTGTGTATGTTTTATACTTGGCCATTAAAGTATTGGTATTGGTATTGGTATGTGACCTACTGGGAAGATTTGTTTTAATTATATTTTAGTTGATTGTAATTTTAGCTGTTTATATCTGATTTGTTTTGGTATTTCTAATGCTGATTTTTAAAATACGCTTTATTGTATCTTCCTTTAGCATTACTATTATTAACAAATATTTATCATCTCTGTAGTGGGTTAGGATAGCAGATGTGATACTATATTTATTAGGTGGCTGAGTCAACAAATGATTTAAAGATTGCATTTTCCAATTTACACAATTATAACTTCAAAAAATACAGAATTGATAACTCCCATCTTCAAATTTTAAGCATAAAACAACTGAACTGGTAAAAGTTAGCAAAAATAATTCTACAAAGATGTGAAATGGATGACATCTCCCTTGATATTTCCAAATTTCATTCAGCAATCGTTTGAACTGAATGAGTGGTACTTGTGACCAATCTGGCCATCTCAGAACCCCCATGGTAATGTGATCATGATCCAGGCACTTGGTAACCAGCTTACACTTATGATGGTTGCAGTGTCCCACAGTCACATGATCACCATTTGCGACCTTCATTGCCAGCTTCCCACAAGCAAAGTCGATGGGGAAGCCATCAGGGAAGGTTGCAAGTTGCTCCTGTTAGTCGCATCTGCCACTTTTTCTCCCAAAGAGTCTGCTACAGAGCATGAGATCCCAGGAATCCCAAGCTTTACGACTGCATTGCTTCGCAATAGAAATTCTGAAGATTCCCAATTGCCATCATAAGTTGAGGACTACCTGTACCTCTATATTTTACATGGATGAAACTGGAACAGTTCTGGATTTTAGTTCAACCAGTCCAGAATGGCTCGGCTAAACTTATGAGACCTAATGTCTTTGCTTCATGAACAAAACAAAACAAATTTTCCAGTCTGTGCACACCTTACACTGCTGCATATAGGATTTGTTTGCAATTATCTTACATTCAATCTAGGCTACATACTTAAAAAGTTTAGTTTCATACTACATATAAACATTAAAGCTTCATACAGTACACCAAATGTCAGAAAAAACAGCATTTAACTGTGACATATCTACTTACTTTGAACATACGGGGAGCTACATGAGAATTCCCACCAGACCACATTTGCTTGATAAGTTCTGCATATGCTTCTGCAATTTCTCCTCTCATTCCTAGAGGATTGTCTTGATTTATTTCAGCTTCATATTTGTCTTCCAAGAAATAGTCAGTCAAGGGAGGTGTATTACTCAAACACTAAAAAACATTCAAAGAATTATATAAGAAAATCATGCCCATAGCCACTTTAACTCCCATGACAATTAAAATTTTGTTAAAATCGGTAGGAATGCTATTTAGAGAATTATGAAATTAGTTAGGACTTGTATGGATATTGCTGGAGACCATATATAGTAAAAAATTCATTAGCTGGACTATTTTATTTTTATTATTTAACACCCTTCTATTCACTTGTCTTGTTTTGTTACCTTTGTAAGACAGTTTAAAGAAAAATGTACACATTCAAGAATTATAAAATTTCACAATAAGTAACTAAATACAAATTAGAGAAATATACACAACAAATTAGAATTAATTCAACCTTAAAAGGCCAACCAACCACAGTTAAAATACTGCAACACTGTTTCAGTTATAGAGGGACTGAAATAAAAGTAGTTTCAAATTTGTTTTTAAAAATAAGAAGTAGAAAGGTTAATTACCAACAAATCTGAGAGCAAGGTTTTGCCTAACATTGAAGCTCAGTATTAGAATCACATGCTATACACAGAGAGGGTTTTAAGTTCAATACAGAAAATCACCAATTCAGACTGGGGAAAACATATCTGAAAACCAGGATTTGTTGGGCTACCAAGCAGCACAGACAATACTAAGTAGCATGGACTAACGAATATATAACAAATAACTTGATATTAAGCCACTTTCCATGTTTCTATCCTACTCAATACATGTTTATGTAGCATTTCAAACTGTTAGGGACTTTAATACTACTATACATTACAAGACTGGGATGGGCAACAATTTCACTAAGGACTGCATTCCATTAATAATAAGCTGAGTAGATGGAGCCAGGGTGAAGACACTCATTCTTTCTATGAAGTCTATGTGAAATTACACTGAGGGTTGTAAAAGGCAGCAGGTTACCTACCCCTATTTTGATATAAAGCTTGAGTCTACCACCATACGTTCTGAACTATATTTCACCAACTCCTTACCTGTAATGCTGAGTTCATGAAACATGTATTTCCTAGATTACTGAGCCCACAGAGTCCAGGCTGTGACTGAGGACTTTCTCTGCTGTTGTAGGAACTATAAGAAAAGCTTGAGCCTCTGAAAAAAGAAAAGGCACATCACAGCATGCTAATACATTGTGGAACTTTTTAATTATCAAAAGAAAGCAAACTTGGGACAAAGCTGGCTTTCTAATTATTATTTAATATACAAATGTATATAATGTCAAATCGATTCCTTAAATTTAGTTCTCACAAATGACTATTGGGGTGGCCAGCTTTTAACAGGAGCATTTCATTCTGTGGATGTGTATTCGCATTAATGAACTTACATCAATTAACAGTGTTTACTGAAATTGTTCCATACTTTTAAACAAATATCAAAATGCCTTTTAAACCCTCCAACACTATTCTGCTTCCACCTGGGTTCTTAAAACTCTAAGGAAGGACTAGCGAGGACACTCAAGAAGGCAGTTCCTGATGAGAGGAGCCTATCTGAAGCAGTCCTCCAACTTTAACAGTGGGCAAATCTCAAATAGGGCCTCCTCAAAAGATCTAAGGAGCCATTAGAGAGGCAATCTTTCGAGTACATGAAGCTCAAATCTAAGCCACTTAGGACTTGAAAATAATGTTCAACATATTGAACTGGGTTCAAAAACAAGATGGAAGCTAACACAATGACTAAATTTATTCAGGATACAGAAAACTGAAAAGTATTCACAATAGTTACAAATGCATTGCATCAATTTAGTTTAAATTTTAACTTTTAAAAATTGAGCTAACTCTAAGAAATGCAGCACCTTCCTTATACTTAAAAGTTAATATTAAAAACAGGAAAAAAATAAGCATTGGAAAAAATGAATTTTGTCCTCTACTGAATCAAACAGATATAGAAGGTGGCTGGTGTGGGTCTTCCGGGCTGTGTGGCCGTGTTCTTGAAGTTTTGTTTCCTTACGT